GGTGATTTGGTGATGGGAAGCCCACGGGGATTGCAACTGAGATGGAAAAAGGCACAAACTGACGTAAACTATTATATTATTTAAAAAATACTAACATATATATGTATTTAAACAAAAAATTAAAGAGAGGGAAGGAGGAAGGAAAGAAAGAAAGAGGAAAGAAAGGGGGAGATGGAGGAGGGCCTGATTACAGAAGCCACCAGTGATAGGTAAGGCTGGTGCCAGGCTTCGCAGCAGGGAGGCGCGTGCAGGCATTTCAGAAACCAGCACAGAAAGTCACGCTCTGCACCCCGACCGGTCCCTTCACTCGCTGGCCTCACTGAACACACGTGGAGACCCTGGTGTCTGGGCCAGAGCAAACACCCTGCGGATTCCAGCAGTCACTTGGTGCTGGACATAGGAGCTCTGACCGCCGCCTGGCCTGGCCAGCATGGTGCAAATGCCAGTGTCTTTCTGGGGCTCGGGGCCCCAGCTGGACCCCCGCAGTGAGTTGCAATGTCACTGCTAGAGGCCAAGGCGCCCTCTCCCGACATCCTCTGCCCCTTCCCACCAGCACAGGAAGCAGAAATGCCCTCCATTACCCCGCACCTAAGAGAGGCCCTTGTTCCCTTGACCTCCACACAGGTGTTTTACCACTTCAACATGCCCAGACTACAGATGAGAAAATTGAGGCCAGACAGGTGATGCTCATAAAGGTCTTGAAGCCAGGATGGGGCAGAACCAGGACTTGAACCCAGGCCTTCCTTGTTGACTCTGTAGCCAGTACTCTGTGTTTGTGCAGTGAGACCCCAAACCTGACTTTCTCCGTGTCACCCCAAGCCTGGCCCCTGTCCTGTGTCCGCCCCTGCTGGCTCACCTTGCAGGAACGCAGGATAATGATGCCCGAGTTTTTGTAATTCTTCTTCTTCTTCTGTTTCTTGGGGTTGATACACTCAAACTCCAGCTGGGCAACATGGGAGGAAAAAGAAAAACTCAACCCCGGCTTCCACAGGAAGTGGCCCTCCCCCACCCTCAGAATCCCTTCTATAGCATTGACTGGGTATGGGGGGGAGGGGCCAGGAGGAGGCAGCATGCCTCTTCCAGAAAGTCTTCCTGAAATCCACATCAAAAAAATGGTTCCTGGGGCCCTCCCTGGTGGCACAACAGGCTAAAGCGCAGCACTATGAAGCTATGACATCCACTGCAGCACAAGTTCGATCCCTGGCCAGGGAGTGACCCACATGGCAAGCAGACCACTTCTGACCTGCCCACTGCTCCCCTCAGCAGTGTCATTTCAGTACACCTGCCTGTTCTGCTCCCTGCTCTGTCTCCTGTGAATCCTTTCACCCCCTGCACCTCTGGCCTGTACCCCAGTTCTGTATGCATAAATAAATACATCTTTTTAAAAAATGGTTCCTACCTCCAACCTGTACCTGCCCAAGATTCTGTATCTGCAACCCCCCACCCCTAGACAACTCACCCATGTCACACACACTGATGTACCCTTCGCGACCCCCATGGCCCAGCTTCTCAGCCTGAGAGTGGGCAGCCTGAGTGCTCACTCTAAGACACTTTAATTCCCACCCCACCCTTCTGTCCCCATTGGACAGATGTGCAAACAGAAGCACTGACATGCTGAATTTGGCTCAGGTTCACACAAGGAGAGGGGTCAGGGCCACGTCCCTTGTTCAGCCCCACAGGTCTTGGGGTCACACACCCACGCATCTTACCGGGACACCATCACGGGCCTCACACATCTGTGACACAGAGGACTGGAACTCGCCGATGAAGTCGTGGCCGCCATCATTGTCGTAGTCATAGCACATGACCTAGAGTGGGTCCAGTGAGGTCACCCCCGAGTTGCCCCCCAACCGGTGCTCTCCAGACCTTCTCAGCTCCCTGGGCAAACCCCACCTCTTCATTTTTGGGTGGCACCTCCTCTCTCCTGAGCATGTGCTTAGCTGGCCTGGGATGACTCTGGCAGCTCGGGCACTGCCTCCTACAGGAAGCCTACCGGGATTACTGGGGCAAGGCCCAAGTGCCCACGTGAGTGATGGCGGCTGTTCCCTCCTCACACTCCATCGCTTGGCCCGTCATCTTGCTTGAGCCTCACGGGCTGGAGCCTTCCCTCATATTTTCCCTGAGTTGGGGGCCCAAACCTCAGCTTCTCAAGCTTTCTAGCTTAGTGGCCATGACAGTCATACCATTCTACTGGTGGGCACACAAGGCCCAGAGGGAGACACTCACCCGAAGCGTCACAGTGACAGTCGCACACCCAGAACTAGAACCTAGACTCGGGGCTCCATTAGTAATCATCCCCTCGATCACGGGGCGTCACCTGATCATTTCCAAGGGGCTATCCCAGCCCCCTGAGATGGGGCCCTGCCCAGACCCCTCAGAGGTCATTCTGGGGGGCCACACCCCACCCCTACCTCGGCTTTGCCAAGGCCTGCTCAGGGAGCCCCGAGCTGGCAGGAGGACTGGCGAGGGGTTGGGGGCGGCACCCAGAGCCCCTCACCTGGACAGGCTTGTGTGTGTCCCCGTCACACAGGGACAGGAGCGGCACGGTGAATGGTTTCCACACAGGGTCCAGCGTGTACTTGATCACCTGGGGACGGTGAGGCCAGGTGAGCTCAGGTGGGGGCAGCAGGGCTGGACCTGGGTTAGCCCCTGGGAGACAGGGTCAGGTGGAGTGGCCGGATGGAGCCCAAAGGGGACAGGAGCGAGCGCCCCGAGGCAGGGAGGGGACCAGGCCTGTGGGTGGCGCTGGGGGCTGCCCTGCTGACCGAGAGGCCGCAGCGGCAGGCTGACCGGAGCCCCTGGGCCGCACCCACCTCAGTCCTGTGGACCAGCATCCACTTGCCGTCGTGTCCTGGCTTATAAAGTTCAAGAAATGGGTCTGACTTCCCAAAGAGGTCCTGGAGGAAGCGGGAAGAGGTGGTCAGGAAGGCACAGTCCTACCAGATTCAGGTGGAAAGGGGGATCAGAAGCCGTCTCCCCCAACCCAGTGTGGGGGGGCACTGTGGACACAGTCACCTGGCCGGTCTCCCCTCAGCTGCTCTAGGACTGGGCAGAAGATCCAGAGAACAGCCTCCCGGAGCCGGCTAGCTCCCCAGGAGAAAGCCCCCATCCTGGGGTGCCCAGAGCGCGTGTGTAAGACCCCGAGGAGTCCACGAGGGTCACAACTTAGCACCTCAGACAGGACGGGACTCCCCGAGGCCGATTCTACCCAGCATAAGGGATGCGATTTTAATTTAGGGGAATTTTGCGGATTTTAATTATTTTTTTAACCTTACTTTGCTATTCTGTTATTTTTTTTTTACTTTTATAATAGTTTATTTTTACATATGCATATTTTAATTTTAAGGGAATCTGAAAAACCGAAACTGTCCCAGAATGTTACAGAAGGGACAGGCTGTCCTTTGAATGCCGTTTATTGAAGCTAAAAACATTCACTTTCATGAAAGTGCCTATTCAAGGGAAAGAAGGCAGGAAGTTACAACACTAAATAGGTAAATAACATGTGCTGAGGGTAGCTAAGTTAAGGAGGCAGGCACACAGGGGTGGGAACCCAGGGGGCAGGCCAGCAGGGGAAGGCCTCGCTGCAGAAATACGGGGCAGAAGTCTGACAGAGCTGAGCAGGGCGCGTGGAGAATATTCAGGCAAAAGGGCAGAAGGCACAGACAGTGCAAAGGTCCTGTGGCAGGAGGGTGCTGATGCACTCCAGGGACAAGAAGGCATCTGATCAGCTGGAGTAACATGAAGGAGGGGAGTGGGAGGAGCTGTCGGGGGGCTGTGGACACATCTGTGGGCCCTGGGAGGGTTATAAGGACACTCACATGTATATAAGTGACAGGGGACCTCAGTGAAGGGACAGCAAGTGCAAAGGTCCTGTGGCAGGAGGGTGCCTCATGCACTCCAGGGACAAGGCATCAGATGCAGCTGGAGTAGCATGAACGAGGGGCGTTTCCAGTCAGGTCCTGGACACCCCTAAGTGATGATGAGAAACCTACCCCCCAGTGGCAAAGAGGTCCTACTTGGGGTGCCTTGGGAGGGGCGGCAGGTGGTGAAGGTGGAGGTCAGATGCCAGGGTCAGGGCTGGGGCTGAGGAGGGCTGCTGTTCCTGAGGAGAACCCCTGCTTGGCCAGCTCACCTTCTTGTCCAGCTTCCTGCCGGCCAGGCTCAGCGTGATGACGCGGTTATCAGACAGCTCCTGGGCAGCGATCTGGAAGGCCAGAGGAACGCGGCTCAGGGCCTGCTCCATAGTCTCCCCCAGCTGTGTGCCAGGCAGGGTGGGACGGGGCCCCCGGAGTCAATTTTCCAGGGCCAGCAGGGGGGTAAGGTGGGGAGCGGTCATGCCAGGTGACCTGGGACGAGTCTCTTGTCCTCCTCTAACCTAAGTTTCCATCTTCTGGAAAAGAGGGTTAGCCCCCTGAGGAATCAGGAGGTGGCCCTATGTGGCTCTAGAGTTGGCGTCGTGGGGCCCGAGGAGGCAGGCCCAGACATGGGAGTGGTCTTGAGCCCTGGGGAGAGGCTCTGAGCCAGGGAGCAGCTTGACAGGCCCCCGCTGGGGCTCCAAAGCACAGCCACTTCGAAACAAAGGTGCTGGGAACCCCAGCTACTTCAGCAGGTGGCTGGGAAAAAGGGCCCCGGGCAGGGGAAGGCCACCTGAGTTCTTGCCATCCGGCAGCTCCCACTGGCCTTCTCCCTGCTTTCCCCATCCGTCATGGCCTCTAGCCCCGGCCTGCGGGTGCCCTTGAGGCTGCCATCTGCCCTTTCTGGGTCTCTCTCGCTCCCCTCCCTCCGGAGTGAAGGGGGGAAGGCCCTGGGCTTCCTCTCCCTCCGGCCCCACCTCTAGGCCTCACTTAGCACAAGCTCGTTGACTTCAGAGCCACAGACAGGCCAGACCGGATGCCCATTTCCTTTCCTGCAGCCTGACAACCGGTAGGGTGGGTCCTGTTCTTGTGCCCACTTCACAGGGGAAACGCCAGGGAACGGGCAGCCGTGCCAGGCTGGCTGTAGGTGGAGGAGGGCCAACCTGCAGATGCACTCAGGATTCAAAACTAGAGGCGAGGAGGGGTGTGGAGGGGCGTTCCAGGTGCCAGGAGGGGTGTGGAGGGGCATTCCAGGTGCCAGGAGGGGCCTTCCAGGGGGTTCTGGAGCAGGGCAGGAACAGCAAAGGAACAGATGAAGGGGTGTAGGCCCCTCCTCCTTCCTGTCCTCTCCCCCCCACCCCCCCATCCACTGGCTCTGACAACAATCTGGACAGACTCACTAGCTAAACCACCCAGGGCCCTTCTGAGTTTCAATCGCCCCTTCTGCAAAGCAGGGGCTTCCCCGCCCCTGGGGGTCTGTGGGACTCAGGAAGGCGCTCACTGCGCACTCCAGAATCACTGCTGGTGGCAGAAACTGTTCGTGCTGAGCCACAACCAGAATTCCAGTAGGCAGGGAGCTGCTGAGAGACCCCAAGGGAAGACAGCGGGGGCCAGCGTGGGATGGGGGTCCTGGGGTGCCTCTAGGGAAGAGTGGGAGCAAGCACCCCTGCCTGGCGAGGCTCCCCTGCAGCCTCGGCAGCTCCCTGCTCCTCCCGCCCTGCCTGGAAGCCCCAGCCTGGAAGCCCCAGCGCAGACCGTGTGGAGCCAGGAGCCCGTTGCTAAGAGACCTGTTGCTAAGTTGTAAGTTGGGCCTTTTTACTCCAAACAAAGCTGGTGATTATCTGCCAGGGAAGCGGCCCATTGATGGGGGAGGGCCGAGGCAGAGGGGGGTGCAGAGAGCGAGCGGGAGGGGCTGGTACCGTAATCAAGCCCTTTCCGGCAGGCTTGCCATTCATCAGGAGCAGGGGCCGAGTGATCTTCTTGCTGGAGACGATCTGGGGGGCGAGAGAGGGGCCCTCAGTGGAGGTGGCAGGGAGGAAAAATCCCCCACAGCCACCACTCACAGCTCTGGGCCCTGCGCTGAGTCTGAGTCACCGTGGGAGGCAGGCCGCAGCCATGCTAACCCGGCTGAGCAGCTGAGGAGCACAGAGAGGTTAAGACACTTCCCTGAGGTCCCACAGCTCATGGAATGCCTGCAGCCTGGCCCCAGGGAAGGGCCCTTGCCTTTTTACCTTTGGGGACAACTGTGGAGAGGTGGGCCCCCTCACCGCCCCCCCCAAAGCGTCCACAGACCTCTCCCTGCTGCAGCCCTGAGGGAGGGTCAACCCTGGACCCTCCTCTGTATTGCCCATGATCCGGATGGGGGAGCCAGTCACTTCCTCACAGTAGAGAAGAAAGAGGGAGCCGGTGGAGGGTCATGCTTGGCATGGCTGCGCCCCATCCCCACCCCCTTCCTGGGCATCTTGGAGAAAACCCCAGTGTGCCTGTTCCCATTCTCTGTGCTGGCCTGTGCCCCATCCCCCGTCCCGCGGGTATCATCTGCTCCCTGCCCTCTGGCAGGTGGGGTTCAGTCTGGGGGGCGGTGGGGGCGATAGTGGGAGCCAGGAGAGCAGGAACAGAGCCTCCCTGGTGGCACAAGGGGTTAAAGCACAGCACTATGAGCTAGCAGGGCAGCCTGCAGCACGGTTCCATCCCCAGCCAGGGAGTGACCCACAGGGCGCAGCAGACCTCTCCTGTCTCCCCGCTGCTCCCCTCACAGTGGATTTTGGTGGATCCACCTGTTCTGCTCCCCACTCTGTCTCTGGGGAATCCTCTCCCCCCAACCCCTGCACCTCTGGCCTGCACCCCACTCTCGTATGCATAAATAAATCTTTGGGGAAAAAGGAAAGAAGAGAAGAGAAAGGTGGGCTGTGGCCTGGCAGACTGTTGCTAGACATTGGTCCCAGCTAGCTTCTACTTCCGGCCTCAACCACAGCCCACCCCAGGCCCCAAATCACTTCCTGCCCTGCCCTGGCCCCCCTTCCGGGCTGGAGGTGGTTGGGCTGGGCTGGCGGCCCTAGGCTCCGGCTGCCCCTCACCCCCACTCCTGCTTGGGCTCTTGCCTCAGTTACCCTGGAGAGTGCAGACTCTGGTGGCCCTGCTTCGGCCACTGAATTTCCTCTCAAGGACAGTCCAGAAGATTCAGCCTCCACCAGGACCTAGCACATTTCCTGTTGCACCCCCTCCCCACCCTCCAGGCTGAGCAGAGCAGTCACCCTTATCTCCAAGCGAAAGCGGGGAAACCGAGGCCCAAATAGGGGTAGCCTTGGCACAAGCCACAAAGATGACTGGCACAGCCTGGCCCCTCCCAACCTCCATAAGCTCAGGGAAGACTGAGCCGGTGGGGCACTTCCCCAAGGAAGTTGCTCAAGGTCACACAGAGAGCAGGCAGGGGGCTGCCAGGGATGCTGGCTGGAGACCCTGCCCCAAGGCCACAGCCCATTACTTCTAGCAACCGGCAGCTCTGGCCACATGGGCCCCGTTTCTGCGAGGCAGCACCGGCCAGCACTGTGTCTCCTGAAGGGTTCTCCAGTCTGGCCCAGATCCCCAGGCTGCCTTTCCCTTTTGTGGTGGGAAAGGCTGGCCCTGAAGGCCCTCTATGCTGTGGTGCCACCCCCAGGTCAGGGCAAACTCTCCAAGGGGCTGCCCAGTCCTTGGGAGCTGGGGGATGCCTCGGAGGGGTGGGCCCTGACCCCTGCCATCCCCCACACCCAGAGCGCCCCGACTCACGGTGCCCAGGCTGCAGGAAAACTGGCCCAGGAAATCATGCTCTTCCAGCTGCGCACTGGACTTGTCCTGGTCGAACAGGGCAAACTTGAGCTTCTGCACCTCTTCGAAGTGATAGTCGAGGATGAACTTCTTGGAGAACGCGGGATTGAGGTTGTTGATGGCGGTTTCCGTCCTGTCGTACTGCAGAGTCAGGGAAAGGGGAGGCAGTCAGGGGCCGACTCTCCTCTTCTGGCTCCATGAACGCTGCTCTGAGCCAGGCACTCGGCCCGTGAGTTACCTGGCTGACTGGAGCAGCATTACTCCAGCTCACGGATCAGGACCTCAAAGCACAGAGAGGTTAAGTGACTGACCCAGGGAGGAACAGCAGGTGTGGCGGGGCCAGAATTCAGAGTGAGACTCAGTGCACCTGCACTCTTAAATTGGCCCTACAGCCAGGTGTCAGGGCGAGAGCTCAGGCCGTCTCTGCCTATGCAAGTGACACAAATCAAGTCCCGCTTTTCAGCTGGGGTTCAGTTTCCACTTTTGTAAAAAAGATGGGATTTGACTGCTTGCAGTTTTATCCTTTTTATTTTGGGAGAAGTCTTTGCTCAAATCACATTGTACATGGATGCTGAAAGTGGAAACAAAGAACGAGGGGTATTTAGGGGGAGGCAGGGTCAGGGGCTCCCCAGCCTCCTGGGGGGCAGGTGTTTGCACCCTGATAGAAACCTGCACTGTCAAAACTGCGCCTCCCCAGCCGCTCCCCCCACCGTGGCCCCCAGGCCTGGGGAAGGGTGGGGCCTTGGGCGCTGGTCGGAGGTGGGGCTGGGCCAGAGCCCGCCTCCCGGCCTCTTGACTCAGAGGCCCTGACCGCAGAGTCTGGGTGACAGTCTATTTTGGGGCCCAGGCTCTGTTGACTTTCCCTCCCACCCAGTTCATTTCCGAGGGCTGGAGCAGCAAGGATGGAAAAGGTCTTGGCCTGGGAGTATTTTTAGCCAAGATGGCCAGCCTGGATGGGAAAGAGATAGTTGGGGATCCTGGGGGAGCCCCTTGAGGGGGCGGGGTGCAGTGGACAGGATGTCATTCCTCGAGGGACAGGAAGGAGTTCCAGAGACTAGAAGGGGGACTGGTGTGTTCCAGACACACTGGCCCTGGCCTGGGGCTCCCCACAGGGGTCAGGGGTAGCCCACTGCCCACCTCCCGCGGCTGCACCTGGACACTGGCCCGGCCAACGCCTGACCTCTGTGAAACGGGCCGGCGGCCTCAGCCCTGCTTCCTCAACAGGAGGAGCCGTTATGTGTGGACACTGGACACCACAGACTGGTCGGGGGGATACCCACTCCGGCCCAGGGAAATCACTGCGGAAAACGCACATGCGTGGAGCTATCTGGAAGACAGGATAGCACACTATCCGCGCGATTCTCCTTGACAGGCAGGTTCCCGGCCATTTTGATTTTCTTTTTTAGGTCTATCTAGATTTTCTAAATATATGACAGGAATAGGAAATGTGGCAATTTTTGAAAGCAGAATAGGAATTTGGAATAGGAAATGTGGCAATTTTTGAAAGCAGAAAGTCAGAACGATTTTTGGATTTCTCAATGCCCCTTCCCAAGCTGCCTCTCTTCCCAGTCCTCAGATCAAAGTCTCCCAGTCCAGAAGTTCTTGGCAGTGACACCACCAGCTTTCCCAGCACTGGGGCTGTCGAAGTAGGTGGGAAGTAGAAACCCTCATTTCACAGTTGAGGAGACGGGCTCAGAGAGGGACAGCCACTTGCCTGAAGCCACACAGCAGGGGATGACAGAGCTGGAACTCAGTGCCCAGAGCCTGAGCTCTCCCTTTCTGTCTGTGCTTCACTGATCATGTTCGTTTAGGAACAAGTGGGAGAATTTACTTAAAAGGTGGGAGCAAGCATTTTCAAAAACTCTTAAGGTTTTAGCTCTATATCCATATCTACGTATGTCCTGTGTAACAATGTAAACTATGATCATTGAAATATAAAAATGAAATACAGTATTCTGATATAGAGTAAACATACGATTATATTTTAAATAGAAAACTACTGTAGTCATAACAATTTAAACACAGACATGACTTTAAGCAATATTTTACGGACAATACAATTTCTTTTTACAATTCAATTTTAAGAGCAACAATTTCCTGAGTAATGCTGGCCCACACTCCAGCTACCTCCAAGGACCTGGAGGCCCAGGGAGCCAGTAAGAACCCACCCCCACAACCTAGCCACCCCACCTCTAGTACGGGGGGGCCTCACCTCGATCCACCTGCCGTCATTCTCTGTAAAGAGGACACAGAAGGGGTCAGACTTGGAGGTGACGTCTCGGTCCAGTAGGTTCTGACCACTCACGGACAGCTCCACCTTGCACACGCAATACTGGGAGCCCATGGGGGCTGCCCCTGCTGCTGGGGCGCCCCCACCTGGTACGTAGGCCATGGGGGTCGGCAGCAGTGGCAGCAATTCCTGGCAATCTGGGGGGAGAAGAGGGGTTCAGAAAGTGGATGGATACTGGCTGTTCCACCCAGGGAGGTGTGACTACTTCAAGAGGTGGGTAGAGAGATGGAAGGAAAGGTGTGGGGGAGGGGAAGAGGACACGGGTCAGGGCCTCCCTGCTGGTGCAGGGGTTAAAGTGCAGCCTCTGCAGCACGAGTTCGATCCCCGGCCCCAGACGTGACCCACAGGGCACAGCAGACCTCTCCTGTCTCCCCGCTGCTCCCCTCAGCAGTGTGTTTCAGTCGATCTGCCTGTTCTGCTCCCCACTCTGTCTCTGGCGAATCCTCTCACCACCAAACTTTCCCCCTCTTCCCCATCTGAACTACACCCTAGTTCTTGTTGCAAAAATAAATAAAAATAAATCTTTAAAAAGATTTGGGCCAGGAGACTACAGGAAAAAGGAGTGGCTGGTAGATGTGTCTAATTTGTCTTTGACTTATTCTCAACTTTGGTCTATCTTTACCTGTGAGAGACACACCTGTTGCCCTGTTGACAATCACAGAGGGCATGGAATCCCAGACTTGCACTTTGCCAGGAAAACCTTGCTTTCTCCTGAGTAATTAAAATGCTACGGTGGAGCTGGTCATGGCTCTGGTTTTCTTTCTTGCTTTGGCTGCTAGGAAGCTCACTTCTGGAGACATTCCCAAACCTTGATTTTATTACTCTCCATCTAGTTCACCCTGTCTCCCCAGCCTAAGCACAGCGACTAGTACCCAGAAGACCCTCAATACACATTCGTTGAATTTAAAAAAAAGGAGGAGTGTATAAAGCAATGATCGGACAACCCCCACAGCGCTCAGAACCTGCCTCAGGCGGTCCTTACCCTCAGTGCAGAATTTGCCATTCCACTTGAACACGACTTCTCAAAGTTCCAAGCACCAGGCCGACCACTGTCAAGGCTAATTACCGGCCTTTGCTTACTCCCATTGTTATGTTTTCCCTCCTGCTCAAGGCATGCATTTGGGACAAGTGTGAGGAAACTCATCTCCAGGGCAGAGGGGCGCTCTGGGCCCAGGAACTGTGCCAGGGCTGGGCACCTGCCGTGAGGGTGGCTGTAGGCTCAGAACTCACAGACCCCAAGGTCCCACCTGGCTGAGAATGTGGGGGACAGCAGCCAGGTCCCTTGGTCCCTGGAGGTTCTGACAGAGCTGCTTTACTTTGTTTTTTTATTCTAAGGGTGACAGAAGTCTTGGAGGGGTGTAAGTGCATAGGTGGCATAATCTGACTCAAGTTCTAAGAGCTTACTCCGGCCCCCATGGGGAGAGCGGGTTGTCAGGCTGAGAGGAGGCAGCATGGAGGCCATCGAGGAGGCGGCTGCCATCTACCCAGGAAGCGCCCAGGGACAGTGGGCACGCCGGCCGGCCACTCCCCACCCCGACCCTGGCCACAGCTCGCTTCCTGAGCACCCACTTTTCCCTGGGGGGCCAGGGTCCCAGGTCTGCAGGAGGCCTGGGTAATTGTGGAGCTGGTCTCCCCTGTCCTCTGGTCATGGCGTCCCTGGGCGTGCCTGGCAGGGAGAGCATCTGGACAGTGACCAGACGGCCTTCTCAGCCCCTCCCCCCCCCCCCAGCTGCCCCTACAATCTCATCATAATTACACCCGCCCAGAGCGTCAGGACAGAACTGCAATTTGCCTGCAGGATTATTCCTGTCTGTAAGAATTAGTTTCCCTCCGGGGAGATGCATTTGCTCTAGTGAGAGCATGGCCCTAGGGTGGCCGGGTGGCCAGGCCGAGAGGGACAGGGTGAGGGTGCGTGTGAGGGGCAGGTCTGTCCACAGCAGAACCTCATCCTGTGGCTGAGCGAACACCTATTAATATGTTTACACCCCCAGAGCTGAGCTAGGGTAGTCACCCCCAATTTACAGATCGGGAAACTGAGGCTTAGAGCGCAGAAGTCACCTGCCTCGGGTTACAGGCTGGGAACTGGCAGAAGTGAGGTGTGAACAGAGTCCCTAGACTCCCAGGCCTTGCCAGGGGGTGGGGGTGACGCTGGACACGGCGGCACCAGGGACCTAGGTGGGGATTGTCAGCCAGGCCAAAGGGAGCCTGAGGCTAAGTGGGCCGCAGACTGGAGCCAGGGACTCTGGAGTGATTGTAACAAGTACCAAGGACGGGTCCCAGAGCACCCGAGGTCCCCAGGTCCTCTGGGGTCACCCTGTCCACACCCCTGCAACTCTCACCCTCACCGGGGGCATGGATTCCAGCTCGTCCCCTCCTCTCTATCTCACCAGCCCCCTCATGACACGCCGGACGTCACCTGAGCCAAACCCCCTCCACTGCCACGTCGACACAGCTGTGTGCACGCTGAGCGTGCCCGGCACACACAGGCGCCCACTCCTCCTCCTGCACGTACACACGCACCCACCAGGCGCGCAGAGGCAAAGGCCACGCCGGGTGGGCACACTGGCCACTGCCCCCGCCCTGCCCTCTCCGGGCCTAGCCACCAGCAGGGTTTGCCTTGGTCGTCGTACCAGCCTCCTGCCACCCCTCTCTGGCTCCGGCCTGGCCGAGGGTGTGGTCAGGAGGGCCAGGTCACCTCGCTGGTGACCTCAAAGCCCGCTGCCACCCGGCCTGGACCAGCTGGAAGGCCCCGCCGGAGCGAGCACGGGTGGCCGGGAAGGGACACTTCTCCCCCGGCCCCAACTCACCCTCTGGCTGGAAGCTTCTAGATCCCCGAAATGGGGAGCACATGATTCCAGAGTTGGTTGTAGTGGGGGGTCAGAGGAGGCTGCCCGTGCCAGCCCGGCAGCCGGCAGGACCCCGGGGCCTGACGCAACGGAAAAAGTAAGCACAGCTTGGCCGGCACCGGCCCCTCCCTCCTATCAGAGGCACAGGCAGAGCCCCAGCAAGGTGTCATTAAGGGCGGGAGGGGCCTGCGCATCTGGGCTAGACGGAAACCCCAGGCGCACCCCAGGCGCACCTCCCGCAGGTAATTTGAGGTTTCAGGAGGAGCAGGAGGAATGGGGAGCCAGGGCTTCCTCACAGCCGGTTCTGCCTGCTGGCCCAGATGGAACCCCACAGATCCCCCAGGAACGGGCTGGAGGGGGCTAGAACCGAGCAGGCCACTTTACAGATGAACTGGCTGAGGCCAAGGGAAGGCAGAGCTCGGGAACAGCCACTCAGGCATCTGTGCATTCCACAAAGGCCTGGCACGTGCTGCTGCGGCCCTAAATAAGACACAGGCTGCAGCCCTCAGGCCCTCTACTCCTCGCCAAGCCCACTCTCCTCCATCTCTCTTATATATATATATATATATACACACACACACACACACAATTTATTTGTGTATACAGAACTGGGGTACAGGCCAGAGGTGCAGGGGCAGTGAGAGGATTCACCAGAGACAGAGTGGGGAGCAGAACAGGCAGATGGACAAAGTACACTGCTGAGGGGAGCAGCGGGGAGACAGGAGAGCGCCCTGTGGGTCAGCTCCCTGGCTGGGGAGCGAACTCATGCTGAAGCGGCTGCGGCTAGCATTTCAGTGCTGTGCTTTAACCTGTTGTGCCACCAGGGAGGGCCTCATAATCTGTCTTGACCCCCCTTCCCTTATTGCCACGTACAGTCCCTTTACTGTCGGGCCTCTGGCCCTCTGCACGGTGGGTTTTATGAAGGTGGGCTCATGCCTGTTCTGGTACCTGTGGCAGCACTGGCACATAGCAAGTGTTGGGTAAGTAAGTAGGTGCCAGATGGATGAGTGAGGGAACTCACCAGGTAAGCTCTCTAATCTGCAGCTCCTGAGCAATCACAGCACCTCCCCTTGCACAGATCACTGGGAGACCACAGGCCGCTTTACCCTGGAACCTCAGCACTGTTCCCAGAGGCCAGCAGAAGAGGGGCGTGCGTCCCAGGTCACCGGGTGGACTCTACCGCCCAAGAAGGGGCAGTGGCTTTTCTAGGCCAGGGGAGCATGGTGCTGAGGCTGGGAGCCAGGGGTGCCCGACCCCATCCCTCCACCTCTCCTCCACCCCAGGCACTCAGGACCTGGCCCGAGAGCCGGACTGTGCGTCCCACCTACCGTGGGGGGAAGAGAAAGCCCCCCCACTCAGAGATGGGCAGTGGAAGTTGAGGTGGTCATCCAAGACCACACCCCGAGCTCCTGGAATGGAGGTGCAGTGCGGTCATTCACACGCTCTGGCATAATCAGGCGGGTGTCCGACCTGGCCCCCCAACAGACCTGCCAGCCTCACACCCGGGTTCCGGGCCAGGGCTCCACAGACCCCCGACTCTGCAACCTAACTACAACTTGCTGGTCCCCACTGCCCCTGTGTGTGGCTACTGAACTTTGAAGATCAGAAAATGCCTTGCATGTGTCCAGGTCTAAGAAAGTGTTGCCTTTTCCACCCCATTTTCCAGGTGAGAAGATTCAAGAAGACAAATGGCAATTGATTTAGCCAGGCTGGTTCACTGGAATAAACAGAACCAACATAAGATCCACATACATGTAGGGAGACATTCCTTTTAAGGAACTCGCTCTTGTGCTTGGGGGGCTGGCAGATGTAAAATGGGAAGAGCAGGACAGAAGGATGGAAATTCAGGGCCGGGCTGATAGTGCAGCCTCAGCCTGCAGGAGGCAGCCACCTGGCTGGCAACTGGACAAGGCTTCTGTTCTTTCTGCACACAAGAACTGGGGTGCAGGCCAGAGGTGCGTGCAGAACTGGAGTGCAACCCGCGGGGGTTGAGAAGATGCACCAGAGCCAGAGTGGGGAGCAGAAAAGGCAGATGGACTGAAATCCACTGCTGAGGGAAGCAGAGGGGAGACAGAAGAGGTCCGTTGCGCCCTGTGGGTCACTCCCTGGCAGGGGCTTCTGACAGCTTCCTAGTGCTGTGCTTAACCCCTTGTGCCACCAGAGAAGGCCCAAGGCTTCTATTCTGGAAGTCAAAGGCCTCCTTGGAGAAACATTAGTCTTTGCTGCTAAAGCTGTCAGTTGGCTAGATGAGGCCCACTCACATCATGGAGGATAACCTGCTTTAATAAAAATCTATTGATTTGCATGTTAACTGTATCCAAAAGATACATACACAGGAACATCAGACTGGTGTGAATCAAACAGGTCACCAGAGCTAGCCAAGCTGACACATAAAAT